ACGAGGATGATCCGAGGAGGTCTTATTGTGGCCTTCCAGTACCTAAAGGGGGCCTACAGGAGAGCTGGGGAAGGACTTTTTACTGGGGCATGTAGTGACAGGACGAGGAGGAATGGCTATAAATTGGAAGAGGGCAGGTTTAGATTAAACATTAGGAAGAAGTTGTTCACTTTGAGGGTGGTGAGGCACTGGAACAGGTTGCCCAGAGAGGTTGTTGAGGCCCCATCCCTGGAGGTGTTCAAGGCCAGGCTGGATGTGGCTTTGGGCAACCTGGTCTAGTGGGAGGGAGGTTGGAACTCAATGATCTTCAAGGTCCTTTCCAACCTAAACCATTCTATGATTGATTCTATGATTCTAATTCAGCTGTGCTGTTACAACTAACCTTGAATTTCAAAAAGTGAATGAGCCATTTCTCTGTTCCTTCCCAGCATGTTGACTTGGAGTTCCTGGTACCCCAGTGATGGTCATTCATATAGCTTCTAGACTTTCTAGAGTTCCTCACAATATTATCTCATTTCTTCTAAAAAAATTCAGCATTCTTTCTGTATTCACCCTCATGTTTAGGTCCTCAATGAATAAAATAGTGTTTTCACCATGTTTGGACAGTAGTACATTTTTTTCTGTCTGAAAATTCTCAGATGCCTTCATAGTCTATTTGGATAGCCTTTCTGAAGTGTGAAGAATTACTAGCTTTTTTTTTTTTTTTTTATAATCTAATGTTTGGTCTCAGCTGCAGATGTGCACCTGCCACCAAATCAATTTATTTATATTCATCTGCATCCATTGGTTATACCCTGGCTTTGCATTATAAGCTTAAACGATACATCACTTTTAAGTTCTTAGAGAGCAGAGCATTTTAAAAATTAATGTTTTCTTTACTTCAGCTTGCTAATGATGACTAGTTGTATAGCTTAATCTCTTTAGTTTCATGCACATAAATGACCTAGATTCCCTTACCTTTACCATTTCCTTATTATCAAGGGGCTGGCATCTCCATGGGAAAGAAAAATTCTGTAATCTGGAGAAGTAAACAAATGGCAGCCTGATGCTAGAGGATCTTACTGTATGCAGAACTCTCTCAAGCAAGTAGCAATCTCTTAATTGTTGCAGACAACAGCATCTTGCAATAAATAGGTATGTAAAATGGCTTTCAGATGGTATATTTGGTCAGGCATAAGTTACCCAGAAATTTCTCTTTTTTGTGTGAATCAACAAATAAAACAAGTTTATGGAAGATTTGCATTTGAAGGGAATGACAAATGGAGCTACTGAGCTTCAAATCAGTGTCCCTGGTTTCCCGTTAGTAATCCTTTGGCACCCTATGCTTTCTGGAATCTGTGTTGTAAGGTTCTCTAGAGGTTCACAGGCTCTTGTTACATCTTTTATGCTCCTTAGATAGCAACTTTTAATTCTATGTTTTCTCAAAATATCTATCACCACCCCTCAACCTCTGACAAACTGTACTTCATTTTGCTCAGATGAACAGTATGAACTTCTAGGCTAAAATAACTATGAAAGGTATCTATATGCATTTATCTGTGGATTTAAAAAAGAGATTTCAGTATTTTTCACTAGATAACGTTTATGAGTTTTTAAACTGCCTGGTGCCTTAACACACCAAGCCATCCCTGATGAAAATACTGTATCGTAGCACCGAGTCGTTCAAGAATAGATACACAAAACCAGCTCTTCCTCGTGATAGCACAGGAATGGCATGATCTGGTAAATATACCAAAATAAATAGCATTTGTCTTCAAACAGGTTGCTGTATATTGGAAGATCAGCATGTCATTAAGTATTCAGGAATTTTGGTGAACAAGAAATTTAGTCACTTAGGCTGATAGCTTCCCACAGACTCAGTCTGTATCCCTCACCATCCTACCTAAATCTCAAATGAACTTCATGCAAGATTGTGTCAAGATACCACAAAAATGAACCCAGCTCCATTGCTTTATTATCTGAAGCAAAAATCTTGAATCTGGATCCTAAATTAACTTCTCAAATAATCTTCTTTTAGTGTGCCAGTACTTGATAAAAGCCATCCTATTTTGGCTGCAAGTTCAATGGAGATATTGACGTATTCCAAGCTGGACTGTGACAGGCAATACAGTGAGACTTTTAGTCAGCATAGTATTTGTCTTTGGAGTACCTGTAAATCAAAAATGTCTCAGCTATTGTTTCAGTTGCTTGAAGATACAGTAAAAAAATTCTGCTACACAGCAGATTCCAGTGGGTGTTATCAAAGTGGTAACACACAGGTTCTATTCCCAGCAAACAATGCTTTTCCAATAATTTTATAGGTTTGCAAATTTCATACAAGGATCTCTAACCATTTTACAAATGTAAGTACATCAAGTGTCAGGAAATGTAAGGTAGGACTCATCTTGATTTCAGAGGTGTTGTAGGAAAAACAGACTCAGAAAATCAAGTGGCTCTCTCCACCTAATCAGTATAGTCTACCCAGCCAGGCTCCGTTTCATTATCGATCACAATGTTGTATTTTATTCCCAAACTCAGTACCTTGTAGAGGCACTTAAGTGGTTCCACTGTGTGTTCGTGTTGCATAAACACTCTCCAGTTCAGAAATGGTTGAAGGAATGGGAGTAGCAGTCAGCTCTGGAGAAGCTGGCTGAGACTTGAGGATGAGCAGATGACTCTGGCACATCCATGGGAGAATCCAACACTGGGCATCTCAGTCCAGAGACAGAGTCACCAGTCCCAAGGGCAGGCAGTGGGAGAGACTGTGAAAAGCACAGATTCTGATGTGTATAGCTGTTGCACTTCATTAGTTACAGATGTGTGAAGCAAACCCAGGGCTTGTATAGAACAAAGTTTTTGGTAAGACAAAAGGCTGTGGTTGATGTTAGTTTCCTTTGCATTTGCAAAGAGCAGATGCTATCCTTTATACTGTGGTACAATTTGAGTCCAGAAAAGATTAAGCTCTGTGATGAACCCTGTACAAACACAGAATACTGCTTTCGCTTTAAATAGGATGACAAAATTGACTTTGAAAAATAATACTGGGAGATTTTTAAACTAGCTTAATGTTTGCCTCTAGACAAAAAAAAAAAAAAAAAAAGAAAGACTATTACTTAGATTATGAAAA